AAAAAAAAAAATAATAATAAAATAAAATATTTACAATGTAGATTGCTTTGCGAGCAACAATGTTGGAACATGAAAATGCAATTTTAAGAGCACAAGTGATAACACTTCGAGAGGAAGCACAATGTCTAAGACACATGTTGATTAAACAACAAGCATCATCATTGCACTCCATCGATCGTTCGATTTCTTCTATGACACCAGTTACATTATCGCCCTCTCATACAACAGCAACTTTGGATTGCCAGATTTGAAGTACGTCATTACAAAACAAACAAAAATGAAATTTTCAACAATCAAGTGAATAACTTGGAAGAATCATACTGTAGAACGTACTCATAAAGTGATATTAAATTACTCAGTTAAGTCTGTTATATTTAGTATAAAAATTTTTAAATTTTGTTAATGTCTTTCATGTTATTTATGTCTAGAGTTAAAAGCACATGAAAAGCACATTTTTAAATTTTATTAATGTCTTTCATGTTATTTATGTCTAGAGTTAAAAGCACATTTACTCCTCGTCAACTAAATTAGATGTAGAACTGTTTTAACAGAAGAATTATTGAAAGAAATTTTAAAATTTAAACATAGACAGATCGTTAACGTAAAATTATCTTGACACTATTTTCAAATTAAAAAAGATGGTGTAAAATGGTTTCGTCGTTTCTTCAGATTAAATAGGAATATTAATGTAAATAACAATATATATATCATTTTATAATTGTTGAAAAATAAAACTCTATCCATTATAAATAAAATGGATTTAAAATAACACTCTAATTATATCGTTTAAATAAATATATATTATGCAGGCAATTTATATATTACCTAACTAATATAAATATATAAATTTTAACTGTGATAGAATATTAAATTCCAATAATCATACAGCGCTGATGATGCAACAACAAATTCAAATGAGGAATTGATATCGCAAGTAACTGAATATTCAAGCAAAATTTGAATATATTTTTAAGAAATGTAGCAAAAAAGTTTGGTATCACAGTTTTCAATTTTTATTGCGCAGATTATTTTATCATTTATTAATTTTTATAGAAATGATCAAGAGAACAAACTAAAGCAAAACTATTATATTATCGTGGTATTATATCTATGTACATTGAAATAAAAAATTCATTAAATCCACATGTAATATAATAATAAACTTATAACATTCAGAAATTGTTTGCGATGTATTATGTAACAAAAAGTATCTGTATATTACTAGTTTAGTTTCATGGTAATAATAGTTGACATGTATATACTGAAGTAAACACTGTATCAGTTTAACAGTGTTGCAGGTTCACTAGGGAATTTAAGCTTGATTGCGCGTGAAATAAGATACTCTGTTTCTGATAATAATTAATACTTAATTAATAATTAATAATTAATTAATACTATTGATTTTAATTCTTTAAATGAACAAAGCACAGAAGCAGTTTTAAATGTAAACAATAGACAAATTTCAAGTGCAACAACAAATCTGAAACTAGTCTTTGCTGTTTATATCTTCGATTCAGATTAATAAAATAATTAATTTAATATTAATTTAGAAAGATTAATATTAATTAATATTATTTTTTATAAATTAATGATTGATATTGATTGATGTTTAATATATTTCAAAATGAGTGTTTTGTCATCACAATGTTGTTACTTACTTATTCAAAAATCAATGTAGCAAGCAATTAAAATGATTATCGATGATAAAAATAATAATCGGTTTCATCAATAAATTCGTTATCAGAATTTTTTTGTTCATTACTTCGACTACACTATGCGCAATTTATATTTATCGCGCCAAGTTTTTCTTGATACTTCTTGAACTTAACACTATGAAGTGTTACAAGGTTTACTGTAATGGTTTACGATTACAGCAAATAGACGTTTGTATACAAAAAAACGATAGATGTTTTGATCATTGACTTAATTATTGACTGTATCTTTGTCTGTAAGTTGTATTAATTTTTTAATTACACGTATTTCACGAAGTAATCATTTTTTTTATATTATGTTATATACATTTCTACGTCCTCGATCACCTTTACTGTCACTGAAAAAGACACTAAATATCACCATATTAGATAATTACAATTGCACCGCCGTTAATAACAATATAAACAATATAATTATTACTGAATTTCCTCTCATATTTGTCACTTATTAGTGACAATTTTGACAAAAATAGAATATATACATTATTTTTAACGATCGCATTTGATCCATTAGATAGCGAAATTTCTGTTGGCTAACCTGTTTACTACACAAACTTAGTGTTTTGTTCCAGACGACACGTTCCAGACGAGGATGAAATATTGAAATAACCGATCTTTTCATTGTTTATGCCGCGGGGATTTCGCGGTTTTCTTTGTACTTTTTTTCGTGTCGTAGCTGTAGACGACAATTAGTTTTGTAAGTTTGAGCAAATGAGATATGTTAGTTCACTGAATCTGTTGTTGCTTGAACTTCAATACCAGAAAAATGCCAAATGGAACTTTTGTGACTGTACTCATCGGGGTCACCGTAGCTACGGTTATTTATTTTATATTTGGAAATAATAAGCAAAGAACTCAGCAACAGTACTATCAATACTCAACAAAGCGCTACTCGGAGTAAGTATTTCAAACAAGAGTCAAGTGTAAATACGTAATAAAAGTTTTGCACGAAAGGTTAACTGTTCTTTTTTTCCCAATGATAACAGACCAGAGAACACGAATAAAGAATGTTCAATATGTTTAGTTTCATTGAGATGTAAAGAACGATATATGTTACCTTGTGAACATGAATTTCACAAGGGATGCATCGAAAAGTGGAAAAATCAATCACCTGGGGTAAGTGATACAAGCAAAACATTATTACAATGACCTCAAAGTTTTTTAAATTTTATCAAAACGCAATTTAATGAATTTAAGTCACATTTGATGTTGTCTTACAGCATCAAGCATTGTGTCCACTGTGCAGATCACCATTTAACTTGTAATGTACTTTCAAATGAATATACAAATTTAATTTAAAACCATGCTATTTGAAACTTAAGCAATCAATAAAAAAATGAAATATTTTTAAAACTTGCGTATATGAGCATTTTATTAAATGCATCTTCTCTTTTGTAAGTAATATAGAACAGTGTTTATAATATCATTTCATAAATAGAAATGTAAGAGATTTTTTAGAAAAAGTCTATAATATTTCTCTCAAAATGTAAAATTTATGACTTTGTGAAAAGATACATTATTATTATCATTGTTTTCATCATATGAGAAATTATAAATGATCAAACTCTGAAGCTTTTTTTATATGTAGCAATTAACATTTTAAATCGTGATACATTAATTTGGATATGACATCAGTACATAAAGTTGTTAATAATTTAGTAGTAGCTACATTTGATACTTTTAATTAGAAGTGTGCAAATATCAAAAAGAGTACAAATTTAGATTGAGTCTAGAATTCTTGATATCGGGTTGAAATTCTGAAAGTTTATATAAATATAATTATATATATAATATATAAATAAATATATATATATTTATATATATATAATTATATAAATATGTTTAAGTACATGGATACTCATATATTACAATTTTCAGAATTTTAATCCAATTTTACTTAATCTGGTTGAATAGTAGATTTGAACTAAGATTCAGGCATACCATTTTTAATATTATATGTGCAGCTACTCTATTTTGTAATTTATCACTCTTTATACTACTGTCATATTATACAGCTTTCAATTAATTAAAATCATTATGTTCAACATTGCAATTGATGAAAGCAATTAATGAAATTTCAGTTCCTATATTTTTTTGTATAAATTATAAGTTTAAAAAATAATGATATATACATTGACAATGGATTCTTTTACCATATTGTGAATTTTCTTAATAACATATAATATAAAATTGTTTTACTCTTATAAATTTGATATATATTATTTCCCATTCAACTAAAGCAATAAACATTTTGAAATAAAAAGCTTCTAAATCATGATTATATTTTATGAATTAACAATTTAATAATATAAATCAAATTATGTAACAAAAATTTTGTAGAATGCGATATTGTTGTTAATTAACTATACATAACTTACGAATAATTGTTTATAAAGCACGTTGCGAAAAATTTGAAGTGTAAATACCATTTCTGTGTGTGAGAAACGAATAAAGTAAATCTAATTTTTAAATAAATAAATATTATGAAACATTGTTTCTCATTTGCCTCATTATTTCATTAATATGTAAAAATTGATAGTTTTATGATTTTTGTGTGCATAATGATCGTCCTTGATAGTATAAGTTTTATGGAAGTGAAAGTAACAGCATGACAACTTTGATGAAGTATTACAGTAATTTTGCAAAGTTCTTGAAATGTTTCATTATTTCGACATTATTTCGAGAAAAAAAAAAAAATAGAAAAGAAAAGTGAAATTAAAAGAATTAGTGAAAATGTCAAAGAAATTAGTTACAAAAACATTCAAGATATTGTATACGCGAACGATAACATCGGAAATGTAGCACTTACAAGTGTAATTTCTTATGATTATACCGCACGCAGAGTGCTTTTCTTTTCACTAATCATAAATGGCTTTTGTAGTTTCCGGTTCGTTCGATTTATATCCGTTTCGCAATTGCGCAAGTAATTTATGATTACTTTCTATTCTTTTTATTTTCATTTCAATGGTTTTTTAAAATTCTAAATTTTCAGTAACGAATCTTTCACTAGCGAAGTATGCTTAATACTGAAAATTATGCGAGAAAAAAAATTCATCAAATAGTATTATGTAATATATAGCGATGTAGCGAGTTTTTTTTTTATATGGTGGATAATTTTGTTCCTGAACATATATATTTATAATTTTGTTCCTTTACATATATATTTATAATTGAATTTCATGTGATGCATCAATTTTTATTTTATATTGTAATGTTGAATGTTCAACGAACCCACTGGCACTTGAACTAATTAAGCGATCAAAGAAATCTAGCGAGTTATGTTTAAAATGAAAAGCGCGAGACTGTAATCTGTATACTTTCAATTTGATAGAAGGGGTTAAGTCGTTACGTTTACAGTTTCCCTGCGCATCCTCGTAACAGCGTGCACAATGGTTGTGAGCGACGGTAATGTTTGTCCAGTGAACGGCACGGGGAACGTAGAGAACCGGTCAGTTACCCGAGAAACACTCTAACTGGTAGCAGGACGATCAGCGTTGTCGATCGTTAACCTCAAAAGTTCTTCAGACACGGTATATGTATCTGGTGAGTGCACTGCAGCAGCAGCACGTGGGGATATAAAGGTGGCGGGAAACGGCGCAACGACGATGACCAACATTTAAAAAATTTCCGAGTTTCGCGGCCTTTCCGGTCACTCAATTATCAAAATGCGTGAACAAATCGAATACGATGCAGTGTCTGCTGTTGATTCTGTGTGTCATTCATATGATCGTGACTTTGGAAACTACCGACGAAGAACGAGGTAAGAAACATTACGTTCAATTAATCGTCATTTCCACTTATTATCCATTTGTACCTCGATTTATCGTCATGATAATTCGCAATCTATAGTTTCCTTTGAATTTGCCTAAAATAATATATTGGAAGATTTATAAATACATGTTCATACGTGATGTATATAATTTCACGTGGAGTTGAAGAAGTTTAAAATACGAATTGTCATAAATTTTTATTGACAGGCGTTAGAAAAATTCAAAGGGATGATCGATATAATTCTCTGATACTAGCAAATTGAATTGTTTAAATTTATATTTGTATACCGTAGTTCCGAGTTCGAAAAATCAAGCAATAGTTAGCCTTGAGTATGAAACGCGATGAATGAATTTTCTTGCATCTTCTTTGTGTTCGTAATTGTGTCTCGAAGAAGTATGACGTGAATAAACTACAAGACCGCATACTACAATTTAACGGTGTATAAAGTGAACTGATTTCAACGCCCTTTAAATCATGATGATTGTCGTTCAGGGAGAATATCGATCATTCGTGTGGTAATTCCAGTATCTAATGACAATTATGTAACTATGGCGAACATATGTATTTGGTTACTGTAAGAATGACCGTCGAAGGAACATTTACTGTAAAGGCGACGACAAGTTCGTAAAAGTAGCACCAAAGCATGGTGAATCGGGACACAGTCTCCGTGGTAACCAGTCAGGGCCTCGGTTATTGGATTAACGGTGAAACTGTCTCGTTCGACGACCACGTGAATTATCCCGTAGTTAGTACAAACATGTTAACGTACATCACGATGCTCGTTTGAGATCGACCGATCTATTTTTCTGAGGGCCGAAATTTACGACTACGAATTGCTGGCTCAGGTTGAAAATCGTTCGTCCCATTTCTCTGGGACCGGTTCCACGATTGTCAAGCAGGCCGAAACGAGTTTTCATTAAATCTTCGATTTCGCCTGTTACATGCATGTGTAGGCTCTATAATTAAACGAATTCCATCTCGATACTTAGCGCCTCCGTGTGTGGCTCTTCCTTTTCTAGGAAAGTCCGTTCTCACGGTGAAATTCACTCTCTTCGTCGCGGACGTGTTACTCCGTGTTAAGAATTCGAGAATATTTGTGGATCAACGACGATCTCGACGTTGCCCAAAGATGATGAACGTTGTAGGATCTAATAATCTAAGGAGAGATCCAATCACGAATGATTCCACTTTCTTTGTAGTACATTAGCACAGGCACAGGTAGCAAGAAATATAAATTATTGGTGTGTACAAGTTACGGTAAATTATCCTGAAATGTCGCAACAAGATTGTGCATGATCTTTCGTAATTAGGTGAAACTATAGTTCTAAAACCATGTAGAAGACGAACGAAAATATTATTAGACAAAATTTAATGACTTTGAGCAGTGCACTTACTAATATCAAAAAACAGCGGTAAATCTGAAATCTTTAAAATAACATTGCCTTCACTGGCAAAATAGTTATTTATATATAATATATATATAT